GTAGAACATAAGGTTGACGGAAACCCGGGGACTGCGCCTACCTGATGAGCCCCAAGAAGGGCGAAACCGGTCGTGGGCTGTCGATGGATTTTCAGCAACCTTATGAGTAGTACATTACAAAAGCCTATGAGAGGTTAAACTGCATTCATTGAAGCTGCAACCCAACCATAACATTTTGAAAATAATATTCTAAGCTCGCGGAGTTCACTCGGATATCGTAAGTGATAGGCTTGTGCCATGCCAGCAGAGCTCGTGGACACAGCCGCTCTACGAAGTGCCCGATGCTCACATCCGTGCTGCCATTTACTCCGACAGCGTGAAGATACTGACCGCGAAGTCCGTGGTTCGAATTCGACCTATAACTCTCGACGTCCCCTGCCTAGCTTTTGGAAACCTCGCAGTATCCCAGCCCTCGTGCTTCCTTCGGGTTGCATGGCAGCCAGGCACCGAGAGGGTGTTACATCTGGACCATTTCCCGACCTTAAGCTGCCACACTGAAGTGATGATCGGGCTTCTGCACTGAAATGATCCTCCGGGGATCCCCCGAAAAAGCACAGGTTAGAAAACATCAGCTCCAAAAACCGCACACTCTGATCTCCCAACAGTTGACCGTAACCGCCGGCGCATTATTCAATACGGTCGAAATACTTTTAAAACCAAAGAGTCCGGTGCTGCTCAAAAGGCACCCATTGTGTGCAGCCGCATCAGGAATGAGACAGTAATGCACTACTCCCTGCGCCCTCGGGTCAGGCCAAACCCTGCAGATGAGCAGGCCAGACTGTTGAGTCATCGGCTCCGGGAAGGGTCCCCAAACAAAACCCTACGTCCTCCAACTGCCTTCTGGGTCAGATTTCTAAGTCAAAGGATCAAGGTGGGGTACCTCAACCAAACACCCTTCCTCGGCCTGGACAACCGGGAAGTATCATTTGCCCGAGCAGTTCGGTGTCCACCGATATCGCTCCCCAACCCCTTCCCAGCACACAAACAAACGTTATAGCGTCACTCGACTGCCAGTTGTCTGACCGAAGGGCCTTATGCTCCTCACTGTCTATTTACAGTAAACCAAATAATACCCTTCGAAATCCACGAGAGCCTTTCTGTATAGGAGCTTTAAACGTCCATACTCTATGTCAAATCGGCAAACAGGCAATGCTTGCTGAAACCTTATACTCCCTAAAAACTGATGTATACTGTGTCTCCGAAGGACACATGCAAGATCCAAGCGTGATTATGCATCTTAGAACGCCATGGATGAACTCAGCTCTTTCACATTTCTCCCTCCGTGTCCGGTGACCCAGAGGCGATGACTTGTGGAATATATGGCGTGGGAGTTGCACTCAGACCAAGAACTGAACGCGCTTTGCTGGATTCCATCCCAGTGAACACTCGTCTTTGCGCCGTCCGGTCATCCCTGCTCAGTCAAGCTCAACGCTCCTCGGCAGTAAAAGTGGTGCCTGTTTGTCGCGTCGCCTTATGCCCCAACAAACTGCAGTTCTGATGCGGAGAAGGATACTTTCTATCGACAGCTATCCGGGCTCATCCGTCAGGCAAAAAGCACTGACATTGTGATCCTATCAGGCAATATGAATGCTCAAGTGAGGCGTCTGAACGCTTTGGAATCAAATCTGGGCGCTCGATTCGGATTCGATGCCGGCCGCACAGACAACGGAGATCGACTCCCCCAGTTGTGTGCTGATCGGGAACCGCTTCTGGCAGGTACGAACTTTAAACGTTCGCATCGCGTGATTCGGTGGCCACCTACTGCAAATCAACCGTGGACACAGTTGGACCATATGGCCATCAGCCACCGGTAGATAGCCACAATTCAAGACTGCCGTTCCTTCTGGGGCACACCACATCATTCCGATCACGCCATGGTGCGTGCAAGCCTGACAGTTCGCTTCTCTTCAGGGCCTCACAAATTAGCAAGCAGCATGCCAATTCACTATCTTTGAAGAACCACCAGAGCTCAACAGTGCCGATTTGAGCTAGTCCAATCCCCACAGGAAAACAATAATGCACTGGCAGTGAGCATGTGGATGAAGCGTGGCGGCGTTCAGTGCTGTCCGTCCAACTTCTCCACCGGACTTCATCGAGATCGCTATCCATGGTTGATGCCAGAAAAGCTATACCAGCAGGCAATGAGTTCGACAGCGCACTCGAATCTCCCAAACACCAAATAGTGAAGAGTCCAGTCAAAGACCGAGAGCTACGGTGGACATCGAAAGCCCGAGAGATGGAGAAGACCTTTGCTACGAGAAACAGCCGTGTTTTATATCAACTGATACAATCGACTGACCCTAGGAAAGCAATGGTCAGCGAAACTATAAGTGAACAACATGGCTCATTAACCCACTCTCAAAAACGTCTACTGGAAAGGGGGCCCCAAAAACTTTGAAGAACAGTTCAGCTGGCTTCCTGCAACACAGTCTGTGGAGATAATGAACACCGGCGAACAGAACGTAAACCTTGATCGCCCTTCGGAGGTAGAAATGAGGTACGAAATAGCCCTACTAGAACGTGAGAAGGCACCAGCACCGGACGGTCTGTATCCAGTCCTCTCTAAAGAAGGGGGAAAATTCCCGGTGACCCATCTGACAAAGCCTATTGGTACCATATAGGACGAAGAGAAGGTACCTGCAGAATGGAACATGTCGACGGTTATCCCCATCTTCAAAAAGGGCACGCGGACGCTGTGTGAAAACCATCGTGCCATCAGCCTGTTAGCTGTGGCATCGAAGGTGCTCTCTGGCGTAATCTTTCGAAGGTTGCCTGAACACAGGGAAAGACACATCCGTGAAAACCAAGCTTGGTTCCGTCCTGCAAGAGGTTGCATCGACCATATCTTCACCCTCCGACAGATATCGGAACAGCAACGCTGTTTTCAGCAACCAAAAATGGTTGCGTTTCTCGATCTGAAAGTTGCCTTTGGTTCTGTGGGTCGTCAGGCACTGTGGCAGTGTCTGTGGAGCAAATGTCTCCCCCATAAATTCTCGACCCTCCTTAAGACTTTGTACGCCCACTCACGCGGCCCCGTAAAGGCCTACGGGAAGCTCTCACCTGAGTTCACCATAAGAAGTGGTGTCAGACTCGGCTGTCCTCTTTCACCATTCCTCTTCAACTTCGTCACTGATACGGTCATGGGAGACTCACTACCAGCCTCTAATGCCCGTGGGGTCAAAGTGCTCCCGGGGCATCTGCTCACAGATATCGAGTACGCAGACGACATAGCTCTTCTTGTATCTGACGCCGTGGAAATGCAAACAATGTTAAATAATCTAAATAATTCCACCACACGGTTTGTCATGCACTTCACACCTGCAGTGTAAAGTGGTACTACAAGACTAGGTGGGCTTGAACCCTAGTCTCATGCTTGCGGATGAACCGATTGAGGTAGTAGACAAATTTGTTTACCTAGGCAGCTGTATCAGTCCCGGTGGTCTCGCGAAAGATGATATTCCCATCCGATCGGGAAGGCCAGAGCAGCTTTTGTGAACCTGGGTCATCTGTAGCGTAGACGTGACGTCAGCTTGTCCGTCAAGGATCGCGTTTGCAATACTGCGGTGCACTTCATATTACTATACGGTCAGAAACCTGG